ACCATGAAAGGTAGAGACTTCCTAATTGGTATGCATACTCCACTAACAAAGCTCTTCCAAATGACACCAAATTCAATGACCTTGTAACCTTGAGTGTGGCCTAAATGCTAAAAATAGCTTTTTTCTGCACACTTCAACCTTCGCCATAACTTTTGAACCATGAAAGATAGAGACTTCATATTTGGTATGCAAACTCCAATAATAAGGTTCTTCCAAATGACACCAAGGTCAATGACCTTGTGACCTTGACTGTGACCTTAATGCTAAAAATAGCTTTTTCCGTACTTTGTTCCTGCCGGGCGCATAGTGTTTCACAAACACATCTTGTTCTAATTCAAATTTGATGAACAAACACATTTTAGAAATGAAAATCATAGGTATCCAGACTTTTGGCTATAAACTTTCGAATTAAACATGTAACACTGTAAATATTAGTGTTTGGAATAATAGTGGTTATTGTTTTTGTTTCTCCTTTTCCTTTGTTCTTGCGACTTTATAACTTTTTTGCTTTGTCCTGAGGAAGAAATATGGCGTCCCTAAAATTTGACAATTTTAATTTTTTGTGTCGTTAGTCATTCTTAGTGCTCTTCATCAATTTTCATCCATAACCTTGTATCTTCTTAGTTGAACCGACACTTAGGACACACGGTTTGTTTGCTTTTCCGTACTTTGCAACTTTCTTTTCAATTTTCCAGCATAACATATAATTCTAAACATAAATGTAATATGTTCATGTTTGAAAGGTGGTCAGTAACGCATGTAGGCAATTTCCAATCATGTTCAATTGTTAATGATTCAATGCCATAATCGTAACCCCGCCCCTAAGGGCTATGTTTGGTATAAAGGAGGTACATGTACGTCAGATTTATAACCCAGGATCAAAATTATATGAATTGCTGGTGTATTTAGAAAAAAAATATGTTCAATAAGTCATGTTGATTTGCTTAAAACCCAAGGTTGTTAAGATTAACGTTGTCTCAGCTTTAGCATTTATTAAACTTATTAAGCTAAAATTGTGTCATGATAAAGGGTAATTTGTTTTCAAGCATGCTTTAACAGAAGAGATTGAATTACTTCAATTTACTCTATTGTTTTTTGACTTTGGTCGGGCCTACATACAGTGATAAAATCTTTAAAATAAATCTGTGATAGAAAAAAGAGAATATTCTTCTTAAAAAATGCAGGGTAATGATTGATGGTTTTGTTTAATGACTGAGATGAGGTTAGCTAGACATTTGGCCCGAGGCAGTCTTTAAAAGTTTATGTCCAGAAATTATCACCTTTACCTTTAGATATACAATCTTATTTAGTTTGATACATGTTCATATTACGTTATTGTCATTTTCAATTTTCAATCATACATGTAGCAAAGTTATTTTTGATTTGTCTTTTATCACAATGTATGAACTCTTTTTAATGTTTGCCAAGAAATGTTTATACCCTCGCTTAAAAAGCGGGAAGAAAATAGTAATCGGTATGTCCGTCAATACGTCTAGCTGTCCGTCTAGCTGTCTGACCGTCCGCCTGTAACACTTCGGGGTGCCCATCTCTTATCCACAGTTTCCCTCTTACCACTGAATGAAATTTGATGAAACTTTCACAAAATCTTTATTGCACATTGTCATTGTGGGTTTCTTATAGGAAAACATGGAATCTGCCATTGTATTTATATTTGAGGCAGGGATACCATCTAGTGAGCTTAATTGCAATTGCTCACAGTACCTCCACTTATGTTTACAAAGACAGCTTTGTCAAATTCCTCTTCTTTGAAATTGTGCCTTTTATATTCATTAAAAAAATAAATCAGAATTCCTTTAGAAATAAAATGTAAATAAAATCTGATTGTTTGCATGTTTCCCTATCAAGAATTTATCACTCATATGGAGACATGACAGTACATGTATGCTGGTGAAGAAAAAAATTGAAATGCATTTTAAAGAACTTAAAGATGTATTTTTTTTATACTCTGGTATTCCCTTTAGTTAAAAAAGTAGAAACATTCGAATTAGCCTCGACTACAAGAATTCAATTACTGTTTACAGGGTTATTTTCGCCCCGTGTTATTTTCGCTCTTTTACACTTGTTTACACATTTCCCCCGTTTTTAATTCGCCCAGTTCCAGTTCTGTTTAAGAATTAAGACTGTGTTCTTTGAATTCGCCCCTTTTTAAATTCGCCCACTTATGACAAGGGCGAAAGGAGCGAAAATAAAACGGAGGCGAAATATTCCCTGTTTGCAGTATCACTATTTTATTATTATTATTATTATTTTTTTGGTTAACTCCCGATATAAATGTTTAGATAAATAAAATGCTGAAAGTATTCAGACTAAGCACAGGAATGTCGACAATAAAAATAATGTGTTATTGGAATGTTTCCAAAGTTGATAAACGTTTTGATTTTCAGGAAATTTACATATAATTCATAAATTTAATGCAATGAATTTTTCATTTGGATTCAGAATAAAGTATTCATGAAATACGGAAATAGTTTATTTTGTTTAATTTACAGGAACTCCAATCACGTTAAATTTCAATTAAATTTTAAATCAACTTCACAAATCACATATTTTAACACGTCTTACTTAAAATCTTTTCTAAATTTTCATATTTAATTTGATCAATTCAAGTCATCAATCTTGATCAAATGCAATCTTATGGTTAAGAATAGGAATCAATGAAGCTTATATGTATGTGTGTTGCATCAGATTATGAACGCATCATGCATGGAAATAAAATTTCAAGTGAAGAAAGTATTGCATTTTTTCATTACACTTTGAAAATGAATATATACAATTTTACACACTTGAGCAAGGAAACACATCATAATATGTCAATGAAATTAGGCAAAATAAGACTTCCATGATATACTTCGAACTCTGCGCCAAGTACATGTACATATTCAAAATCTGCCTTCTTTTTCTTTAGCACTATTGACCATATTCTCTCTTTTTTCTAGATTCATTGATTTCCCTGGTCGTCTGTATTTCTTAACTACAGTGGAGACGAAGTACAGAGTCATCAGAAGGACAGATAAACCCACAAGACTGGCGATGGTGTATCTGATAGGTGTTGCTCTGTCTCCTTCTCTGGCTGCAATGGATTCTCTTTGTACATCGTTATCCTCTTGTCCTCTTGACCTTAGGAAACTCTTTGGTATTGCATTACTTTTGTTCAAAGCTGGGAATAATTCAGTTGTCGTCGAAAATGGTTTCACTGTTTGCAATACACCTAGAATATAGAAGATTGCTGAATGTAATGTATGTATTTATTAGAAACAAAGAGATTTTCCCCACATAAAAAGTTGTATGAACACAAAATGTTTTTCTTCAGTCTGTCATAAAATTTGCGCCTTTCTGAACGTTTGTAATGTAACTGATCGTTACAAAAAATGTGCTCAAGTCACCTTTAATTACCGTATAAGCAGAGTTTTAGCAAAGATTTGTTTTTGGCATTGTTAGGAATCGAGGGTGCCAAGATCGCTGAAACTGAATATTGCTAAAATTTATTACATGTACGTTTAATTCTTTTTTGGTAACAGCTTCTTAAGTAAGCTTTTTAAAATCGCTAACATAACATCTGGCTTAAGATAAATTTCCAATTTTAAAGGACAAATCACTAAAACTGCGTCTTGCTAAAATTTCCACTAATACAGTAATGTTTGTTTGACTTCTGCCGAATCAGTATTATGAAAAATTGGGTCCGTAGATGGGAAGATGTTTTTCTTCTTACATTTTTGACATCAATGCTTAATTCACATGTTTTAAAATTAAAAGTATTTTATGATTGATTGACTGAATATTTTTTAACGCCGAATCGGCAATTTTTCAGCCATGTTTCGGCGGTTAAAGTATTTTAAAAAGATAAAGAAATGTAAAAGGTCTAGAATTAATTTTGAAACAAAATGTGTTTGTAAAACATTATACGCCGTTGGCAGCAAAGTTCGAAAAAGCTATTTTTAGCAAAAAGGTCAAAGTCAAGGCCACAGGGTCATTCATCATTGAAAGAACTTAAGTAGTGAAGTATGCAAACCAAAAAATGGAGTCTCTATCTTTTACGGTTCAAACGTTATGACAAAACATCGAAAAAACCATTTTTAGCATAGATCAAAGTAAAAGTCAAAATGCCATTCACTTTGGTGTCATTTGAAAGAACTCAATTAGTGGACTATGCTTCCCAAATTTGAATAATCTATCTCTCACGGTTCAAACGTTATGGCGAAGGTTAAGGTTGACAACAGACAGACAGGACAAAAACAATATACGCCATGGATCTATCGATCCGCTCGCATTATTATTTTTTTGCGTGATGGTTTAATTTAAGAATTAGCGTGCAAGTCGGGAGAGAGCAAACAAATATTTTTGAATTATGGTCTGGCAGTTTGTCCATCTCTATCAGAAATACCTGATTTAGTAGTTCATCAAAGCATTTTTCTGCAAGCAAACAAACACAGAAAGGGGAAGAGAAAAAATAAACCCTGAAAAAGATAGGAGGAGGAATGGCTTTGTATGGATCTAAGATTAATTTACTCCGAAATAATTTACGAATAATTATAATTAGCATACTTTTAATATAAATAATTGTTTTATGTTTATTACATACTCGATCTCTGTATGCTGTGGGGAGGGATGGGGGTAATTTTTTAGACCGTCTCACCTGGATTAATATCTCTGATACATCCTGTACGTTTGTTACATTTCTTTCTATCACAAAGACATCTTCTCTGGCAAAATCTTCCAAACTGGGGATAGGGACATTGCCATTTGCACTTAGGTCCAAAGTATCCCAACGAACATGCTAATGAAAAGAGTTAACATATATTTCCTTCAAGGTTAATCTTGCAGCAAATAATAATGTTTAAGGCTATTGCATTGTAAATTCCAGGAATGGTTTATCTCAAAATAGTTATTTAGATCTCAATAATATGTAAACAAGCAGGTATTACATAATACAGCATTATTGTCAAATAACAGCATTTATGTAATCATGTGTTTTATGGTACCAGGTTTTTGTTTTCTTAAAATCAAAACATATCATATGTATGTGTATTTGGCGTCTATCGGGGAATTAGCCAAACCTGTGTACATTAACCAATCAGAAGCGTGTATTTTCTTGTGTCTCAGATTAGCGCCTCTTCACTGATTTAGAGGGAAAACAAAAACACGTTAAATTTTTCTACTTAAGAAATCACCCACCCACCTTCCCCAGCTTTCACCATCAGTCAAATATCAAACATTTATGTTTATGGTAAAACATGTTTGATTATTTAATGTTATCTTCTTTTCTTAAAACACAACAGTGCGTTGTGTAGGGGGCTTCTGTTTTTATTTTTGAACGCCAACTTTTTGCTTGTAATGTATATATGTTTTACAATTTTTTCTGTTATTTCGTACATTATTTTGACATGTAACAGGGGAGATCATTATACAACTTTACTTGTTTATGTAAAAGAATATTTGTATAAGGTTTTTTGATCTCCCCATTTATTGTATTCTTTAATACTCATTGTCATTTTCAATAAATGACAATTCACACAAATATGGAGTTGTAATTTTTATCCAGGAAGAAAGTGGAAGGTTATTTAGATCTCAATAATATGTAAACAAGCAGGTATTACATAAAAATATTTCCTGTGTTAAAACGTTATAGATTTAACTTTGTATATACTTTTACATAGGCATGTAGTATCAGTCTGGTTTTTCAAACATTAATTTTTCTATGTTAATTTTTTTTAAAGAAATGCTGGCCCCCTTTTTGATTGCAGGTGCAGTTCAGCGAAATAATTATGCTAATAATATGGTAGTGTACCTGTTATACAAATTTGATTGAGAAATAAAAGAACTAACACCACCACTATCCCCCCTCCTATCCAAAATATTGTCATTTTTATTTCTTTTTACGTGTTTAACTTATGTAATTAATAAGACATTTGGGAAACATCATATTTCATAGAAAACATATCACTTACCTACACATGAGCCAGAATTTGTACTCAACATATAGCCGGCACAGCATGGACTTGGTCTTTTAGATGAAATTATAAGAAATGTCATGAAAAATAGATTAATCTGATGAGAACAAATACATGAATTTTGCAAAATATTAAATGGTCATTTAAAATTGAACTCTTTTTTACCTTCCTTCACACAAAGTTTCATTTTTTACGTTAACTTGCAGGGAAACTTTCAACACAAAAAGGAAAATGAATATTGTCTTCATGATAAAAATTCCAGCATAATGTGTTTTCCATGGGTATGTTTGTTTGAGGAAATTGATTGCAAAGTGTTATTGAGCGCCCAATTTCCTGAGGAAATTTCCATGTACAAATATTCACAACATTTATATCTAAATGAAAGCTTAAAAGTACACCATATTCTACCTAATTTTATCATGCACATATAAGGTTTAAAGATTACTGATATTAGAATTAGATGCATGTTTTGATTGCAAATGACGCAGATTATAATTGATATCAAAAATATTAAAATTTGTAATTTTTCTATGAATTTCAACATTTTACCTTTCTGAAGAGTGGATCAAATAATCTCCTAATTTTTGGCCTCCTGCTCTCTTATTCTAAAATAATCTATTACTCATGCATTTGAATATCGTTATTCTAATCAGTATTTTGAGAGTGAGTCTATAAAATGAAAAAAAAATTAATAAAGAAATACATTTCTTAACATAATACCTTCAAATTGTAACATTTTGATCCGCTCCTTGCAAAAAGCATCCATAATATTATTTAAAGATTCACAAAGAAAATTAATAACTCTCTAACTTTAATATTTCTTGCAATGCAATACTGATTGAGCATATCTTGAAATTAATTTGCTTTATGTAATTATCCTCAGTAAGTCACTGAAGACAATTAGTGAACCTACTCTACTTTAAAGTTCAGGTTACCTTCATTTGATATACAGGTGTATTTATAGCTTGAAAATTACCGTGGCTATAAATAGCTTTATCAATGGTTCACTGTTTATTACCCGTATACCTTTGAATAACAATAGCATCTTTTTTATAAGTTACGAAAATATAGCAAAATTTAATTATTTCTACTTCACAAAATATACAAGATAACTATTTTACTGCTAATTATTTGTATAAATACCTGTCCAATTAATTTCATTCGTTTGGTAATTTTTGTGCTATAATAAGACTGAAAATTTTTGATCATCCATAGATTTATATCATCGTTTTGAGGAGCTTTAACCTTTAGAAAATCTGCAAAGGTATTTTTAAGTTATATTTATATTTTTGTGCAATTAACTTTTAAGATACATGTATTTGATATTTAGAAAAATATTTGTATAAACTTTGCATGGATTCATGGAAATATAATTTTACTCATGAAATTAAAACAATCCTTTAAGCCCGTGTCACACTGTAACGATTTATAGCTACGATTCATTATAAATCACAAATCGCAGCAAATCGGGATTTATCGCAGAAGTAGGATATCTTCCTTAATATTGCTGAATCGCAGAAAATCGCCAAAACTGGTGATTGTTTTGAGCATGTTCAAAACAATCGTGGACACAGCACGATTTTTAATTCTTTGTAGACAATCGCACAGCATCCGCACTGCACTCGTACTCATTGCTCGTGCTCATTGCCATCCATAATAAATTCCTGAGCTCAGAGATGCCGGAATTAGACACAGAGGGGGAGATTGTTTGGGCCCGTATACAGCAAAGTGGACAGAAAGATCTTAGAATTTGTGCGTTTTATAATCCTAAAGCATCCGAAGACCTAACAGCTTTTGAAACATCAGTTCAGCGTGCATGTAGCCCAAACTCACAGATCTTGATTGGGGGAGATTTCAACTTGCCAGGATGGAATTGGAAAGATAAATTTCTAAAACCAGGAACCCAGCATGGAAAATGAAATTTCACCCAAATTTCACCCAGATAAATGTACAGTACTCACAGTTTCGAAAAAGAAAAACCCTATTATCTTCAACTACACCCTTCATAATCATGTACTTGCCCATGAAGAGTCCACAAAATACCTAGGCTGTACTATAACATCTGATCTAAATTGGGGACTACATATTTCAAATATCTGTAAGAAGGCAAATCGAACTTTAGGATTCCTACAACGAAATCTTCATATATCCTCCAGGTCGATAAAAGAAAGAGCTTATACATCTTTGGTTAGACCGCAGTTAGAATATGCTTCAACAGTGTGGGACCCGTACCAACAGGGCCAGATAGATATGATAGAAAAGGTGCAAAGAAGAGCGGCAAGATACATAATGGGCAATTATAGAAATAGATCCAGCGTAGCAGAAATGATCAAACATCTAGAATGGAAAAACTTAAAAAGTAGAAGAAAAACATCAAGATTAATAATGATGTATAAGATAGTAAATAACAAAGTAGCCATTAGCCCAGAGGACCACTTCACTAAGCCTGTAAGAAGATCACGGCATACAAAACAACACTCGTTTGCAATACCATCAGCAACCAAGGACTGCAGGAAGTGGTCATACTTCTGTAGAACTATCAAGGAATGGAACAGCTTGCCAGAGGACACTGCGGCAGCAAAATCACTTGAGATATTTAAATCTCAAGTGATTAAGACACCATAAATCCAAACTTTCTTTTATCCAGTTTTTTTAAAAAAAAACAAAAAAACAAACAAAAATTTCTTTTAATCGAACATGCGCACACCCAAACTGGCATAATCTTCAACTTGATGAAGGAGGCCAGACAGTGGAAGAAGAAGACTCATATTCGTAGTAAATCTTCCAAGTTCATGCGACATTCGTGGAACTTCGTGGTACTCGCGACACTACGAGAGTCCTAAGAGTTACCTTGAGTGTCCTTCGAGTTTGTGCGAGTTTCCTACGAGATACTGCAAGTGTTCTTCGAATTGATAAGAACATAGTATGACTTTCCCGCGAATATGATACGAAAAAGGACGATTGATGGCAAGTGCTGTACGAAAACTGTGCCATTGAACTACGAGTTACATGTAATACGATGTACAGGCAGACGGTTTCTGATGTTAACACTGTCGAAATCAAAATACTGCCTAAAATAAAAAGAAAAAAGCTTAGAAAAGTGAAATAAATTTGAAAAAAAAACATGTGTAAAAGAAACTATAAACAAAAACTTAAAGAAATTGAACATACCTGGTTATCAAAAGTTCCACACTGTAGTTTTTACCGTGATTAACTAACATAATTATGATGTTGAATGATTTCAGAAAAATCTCCCTTTACATTATATACTAGTATGCATTCCAGTACATGTATATTCGTAAGAAATCGCCATTAGTGTATATATATGTATATTAGTGTTTATAGTGAATATCGTGTATGTAACATGGCATATCGTAGTCCTTCGTACGAGTATCGAATGTAACGGCGTTTAATCCTTCGTAATCGTAGAAATATCGTAAACAGTTCCTAACGCTGTCGCCTCAGTTCGAATTTAAGCCTAGGTCACACTGTCACGGAAATAGACATGAATTGCAACGGTTCATCCCGATTTGATAAACCGCAAGAAATCGTAATGCTTATACGATTTTTTGGCGCCAAAAGCAAACGAAAAGGTTGTTTCAAGATTATTGAACGATTCAACAAGGTTTTGACACGGGTTTCATTAAGGACCATGCCATTCACGCCACGGACACTGTTACGGGCAACCACGGTATCCCGTAGTGATATCTTATAATGCGACGGCCTCACTGGTGATTGTTAAGCTACGGTTACGGCCAATCAAGTTAATGCTACAACGCCACGCGGCTCTTGTACGAGAATGTCACGAATGGAGAAGATTTTTCAAGACGTGTTACGTCTAAGCAAGTAAAAGACATTGGGATAAATGTAATCGTAATTCAAGGTTCTCTGTACATGGACGCCAGCAATAACATTTTTTCAAAAATACCGATATAAAGAGGAATCATTGAGAAAACAAATGTTACTATAATTTCATTTCTTATTTAAAAAATACAAGTGGCTCCTTCTTATTTTTTAAATCCTTATAAAAGTTGACTTATTTTCAGATAACTGTTATGTATGAGAAATACATGCAGATGTGTTAAAAGCTATGGAAAGAATATATTCAAGATTTCTAGATCTATTCTATATTAATATTTTAGTTTATTCACTTTTACAATAAAAATCATTTAAAATGTGTTTTCATTCAGTATTTTTGTGATTTAATCAGATTAAGTTACGTTGCCAAGACACTCTTCCTGTAATTGAGTGTAGTAGGTAGGGTCCTGATGTATACTCGGTTTAGATTTAACTGGCCAGCGGAAGGCGGTTACCACTACTAAGTATCATATGCCTAAACCGAAAGTTGGTGATCTCTCAAGAATCTAGAAATGATGTTACGGATGATCTCTCAAGAATCTAGAAATGATGTTACGGATGAAATATATGGAGATAATGAACAGTTTTCAATCTCAAAAGTGCATTCAAACATACTGTACCAACAGGGGAGAAAAAAAACAAACTACGGACCTCTAAACGATCAGAGGTGAGATCAGGCCCCAAGGTAGAGTGAGCAGCACCCCAGCGACCGGTCACACCTGCCATGTGCTCCTTGATTTGATCGGGAAATAACGGAAAAGGCAATACGATCATCTGAAAAAACAAAGTGAGAGTTTTTGTTTTCACTAGCTGGGATAGAGTGTGTTGCTGGGAAACCTTCCTAATTACATTCATAATGACTGCTTCATGTTAGTCATCAATTAAAGCGCATCGATACAATGCATATGGTTTGAAAGCAATCAGTAAGGTTATATCAGTTTTAACTCATCATACCCAAACTGTTTTCTTCTTTCTTTTCCTACTTCCGTCTTCCCTGGTATATATAAAAAAAATATGTGCAACAACAATGTAGTTCTGTGCTTTCTGTCTGTTCAACTTCATGTGCAGATTTAATAGCCGAATCCCGTGCTTATGGTCATGTGTACAGTCATGAACAACAGATAACAATGACTAGCAAAAATTGTGACAAAAATGTGTACTAAATAACTGAAAGATCTTAAGCTATCTTATCCAACCGTAAAATTGCCGTTAAACACGTAATTAGACGTAAAAACCCCTTTCTGCTGCCGTATTACAACGTGAGAAAAAAAAACAGTTCGCCGCCATTATTCGTGAGTCTCTGTATTGTTTCCTTGTCGCTTTCCTACTACAACTGAGACAAAATGTGCGGGACTTACGGTTAGTTACAGATTATCTTGTATATTCGTATATTTTCCCTACTGCAGTCGTCGAAATCCTTGAGTAAGCGTAGACCTACGTGTCACGGATGACCCCTAAACAATCACGAAAGTCTATACGGTGGTTACACGGTGATGGTAGGCATACAATACGGGGTAACTACGATATACAAGAAATGAAGATGCATCGCGGTTTTCTACGACTGTTTTGAACAGTTCAAAACAGTCGTAACAATTTACGGATCGTTCAGGAGTAATCCAATTAACCGGGCTCACCAAGGTAATAATAACGGACTGACTGCGGATGTCTAGGAATTTTCACGGATCCCTTAATCGTACCTTACCGTGATCTAAATTCGTGACAGTGTGACTGGGGCTTTAAATCATACAAACCTCGTACTTTGTCGCACAAACATCGCAGACACACAATTCTAGCAGGAAAATATTCCACACGCTGTAAAAAAAAATGCAAGACAAACCTAGCAATGAACGACGATTTTCAACTTTTATCAATTCGTGGGTACATGTAATCGTAGCATAAATCGCGACAGTGTGACACGGCCTCTAGTTATATCAATCACTTTGTTGAATGTTAATAAAATTACAAGTATGTATTTATTAATTTAATCACTCAGACGATGTTTTTACGTTTGGCAAGTGTTAAAATCGGTAGACTTTTTCAGAAAATATAATGAAGAAAAAAAAATTAGCAATAAGACATGATCGTTTATTATTTGCAAAAACTAAAATAATAATAAAAAGGTTGCAAATATTTTCTAGCAGAAATGAAAACCATGGATTGGTATCATGGATTTGTCACGATAAATATGGTGATGCTTCTACGTGTGATGAAGGTTGGTGCCCAAAGTCAAAAATTATCCCCATCTTCCTCAATTTTCATTTTTTTTTCAAAAAGATTGTGGGTATTTTTGTCAGTCAGCCATCCAGGGACTGATTGTACAGTTTGACTTGGTCACATACAAATGTTAAAATAGATGTATAAGAAAAAAAAAACCCGGTCTCATGTATGAATTTGCTGATTTTAAAACCTGCAAGTTCAAGTGTTGTTGATAAAGTACCCTAAAATCCCTTTTTCCTTACATATGCAAACATTAGACAATCATCTTTCATTTCATATTATTTTAAAGGTGTTTGCATTCACGAAGTGTGAGGTCTCATTACTTACCCTGAGGGTAGTTGACGCATGCCCAATCGACGAAGAGTCATGGAGAAAGGCGGCAGAAAGGTTCAACTGTTCTTCTATTCGTCAGTCGTGTTCACAATCATCGGGAGCAAATGCTCAACATTTTAAGTTTCAGTATCATTGCGTTATCAATCCATGGAGAAATGAGACATTAGAAGTATGCGCACCTAATCGCACTATCCTTGGTATGTGAATTATGAATCTATAATAATAGAATTAAGCTTTCGTTTAAAAAACAATGAAACATATAATCATGCACATTTAACTACACGTGTTACTATTTCCAGGTTTTTGTACAGAATTCAACGCACAGGGGGCATTAATTCAGGACAACTATGATGCACCGTGTACAAAACATAATCTTCCATGTCCAACCAGTTATAACTCAGCGGAGGCATACAAATGTATCTATTTCTCATAATTTTTAATATTCTACAAAATATTTTCCTTTACGTTTCTTTACGTTACGTTACGGGGTTCTGATTTGGTTTTTTTTAAATCAGAGGAAAAAAAAATAGAAAAAGGATTACATACAGATGTACTAGTCTATACTTTGTCAACTTTTATAACTCTGACGAGCATATTTTACTGGCGAGCTTTAAACTACCTAAAACTTTCTATTACATGCAGTTATATCATTTGTTAAATCTCACGAAACAAATCATGAAAGATTCATCGATTGCAATGCACTTGTCAATTTGATATTCCGTTTTAACACATTAAGAGGCTGATGAAGTCATATGTACAACGAAAAATATCTTTTGTAACCTTTTAATTATTTTTATCTTAATAAAATTAAATTTTGCCATTTTGGTTATAAACGCTCAGTGTCTGCACACCAGTATATATTTCAAGCATTTTTTTTTCATTTAGACCAATCAAGCTATGAAATGGTCAAAGTAAACAAATTGAGAAAAAAGCATGAGAAAAAGAAGAAAAATGTTTTTGGATATTCAAGTTTATCTTCATCAATCAGGGTAAAAAAAAGCATGTTAATCAGATGAAATTATTTAAAAAAGACATGTTTAAAAAGTCTATGTTAAACAATATTTACAAAAAAAAAAAGACTCGCCTCTATACACCAATTCTTATCTTATTTTTCTACGTTTTACAAAGTCTGTAATATGCTATGAATAATATTTCTAACCAATTTCTTTCTTTTTTTACAGGATAGCTCGAAATCTTGATATGGTTATTTATCTCCTTCTCTTTGAAGTTGTTATAAGAGAAGTTATTAGTGTGACTTAGTTTGTTAAAATTAATATTAATATAGATTGTTTGTATGAATGCATGGATGTATAAAGGTATTCTAATTTACTTATTCTGGTATATATGCTGTTTTGCATTAATGTATGAGTTCTATTTGAATGATTGATTTCATTGATCTGCAGAAGAAAGAAAGGTAGATGTGCATGTGTGTGATCAAACTGTATTGTGAATTATTAAGCTTAGTCACCTACAAACCTCGAAAAACGTTTTACTCAAAAACAACTTATTTCAATAGTGATTTTAAAAAAAGATCTTTATAAATGTAGAGCAAATGTTCAATTAATTAAAATAGATTAATTATACCTATTTTTTAACTCTGTCAACAAATCACTTACTAGTAGATTGCTTATAATGTTCAATTTAAATTAAATTGTGACAAATAGATGTTCCATTTAAATAAACGAAGACACAGTCCAAGCAGTCACACAAAGAAGAACGGGAAACCATAATGTCTTGATACTCAAATGTCTTAGTTTAGGAGTGCTGTACTAAAATCAGGTCATATTTTTCACATTATTATTTTTTTCTCTATTCGACGCGGAAAATTTATAGGATTACCTCGAAGGGGATTATTAGAAAATGCAAACTACAACAATTTCCTGTATCTTGTTTTTTTTTTCTCTTGTTGTAATGGATGTTTGAATTTAGTTGTTTATTGAATAAATATTAGTTTTTATACTGTGTAAGGCATTACTTGAATGTTACACTCAAAATTTATAATTGAAGATGATTATATTTGTTCCTCTGTTTTGTTTTTAACTTACAATCTACCCAAGAATTTCTATTCATCAAAACAATTTAAACGGGTGATGAGTGGCAGATATATGTATTCACAGAGAAAATGTTATGAAAACACCATGCAAACAATTTAAACATACCAAACTCTGAACATGGGGTTTGGAGATAGGTGACATTTATTCCATAAACTGAACACGATTCGTAAAAGGAATGTATCCGCCATTTTTGTTCGGAGAATTGCTATACCTGCAGACCCTTATATAAAGGACCGGGCTTTGTCACTGTAATCAGTCGATACCGGTTTAAACGGACATTTGCTATAAAGCACTCGGTGGCAAGAATAATAACGTAATACTTTATCTAATGCAGGAAAGTAAGTTACCAAAGAAATTTACAATTATAGTTGTGCAGGTCAGTGCAGTATACAAACAAACACAGATACACGCAACTGCAATAAAATGTAAACAAACGTAAGTTAATGCAAAATAACCAGACACGGATCGCCATTCCACGCCATTAGCTGTGACAATAAAGCAGTCAGGTTTGACGACTTTGAAGAGTATTCAATGAAGTAGATGTATCGTGTATAATGATATCGAAAATGGCGTATGCCTTTTTAGGAGTCGTGTTCAGCTTTAATGTAGAACAATATAAAACAATTTAAACGTCATGCAAGCATTCGAAGAACTAGAATGATCATTTTGTTTTCCGCTAGAGTATCTTAAGCTCTGGAGGAATTCAAATTATTAAATTTATGACGTAATGATGTTTTAAATAGTTAATCAACGTAAATATATTGAAATGATGAATAAAAATGAGAACAAACACTAGCACTTGAGGCGTTGTAAACAATTATAAAAACATGTAAAAATAAGAATTTGGAACCATTCACATTTCAACTTGGGTTTATTATATTTTTTGTTTGTGTAAGCTTAAAGTTAACCGGAAAAAAAATCTTTCTTTTGATAAAGACGATTGTCTTATCCAAACAATATATTGGCCGGTTTCTTTGGTACAGACGAAAAGGTAACACATCAGATAGTGTTATATCGTAAAATAACAAGAAAACATTAGTGGTTTCTTTCTTCATGGAATGTTCTATCCTATATCAAATTTACTATTCCAGTAAGAGTTGCCTAAGAGTGCTAGCACATAGCTATTTTCGTTAAATCAAGAACACTTACTTAATTTAGTTCCCGAAGATAAATGACCTTTTCCTCTTCATTATGCTTTACATGTACAATCTCTGATATTTACAACATTCGTGTAATTAAACAATATCACCTCAGATCACACATATACATCGTGCCATTGGAAATATAGATGGGCAAAATAAACGCAAAACACTAATTTAAATCATATCTTCCTTTTTCACAGGAAAAGCTATATTTTCTATTTTGATTATTTTGAAAGTATATTTTTTAAGTTCAATTGATTTGAAAATAAAACCAAAGTCTGTATAGATATATTTTAGGATGTCCATTTTAACGCTTTTTTGTGTAATATATGTACAGTGGACCCTCATTTATCCGGACGCTTTGGTTCCCAGTCAACTTGTCCGGATATGTGAAGCATCCGGATATCTGAATCACCAGTTAAACAAGACAGAATAACATTTTCAAATTTCGTTCCGATGAAAAATCGTCCGGATACTGAAGCATCCTGATATCTGGCGTCCGGATATCTGAAGGTCCACTGTAATATCTTCATTATTTGATTTTTCATCCTCGCAAACACTCTGTGAAGGGAAAGGTAATTTTGTTATTTCCTTGAAAATACAATGCACAGAAAATATCCCTTATTCAATGTTCTGACCTTCTATTACCATTGAGCGTGCTCCGTTGTTACAAAACATGCTAATTTAAAAAAAGGAGATTAATTCTTGTTAAATCCAATTGGATGGAACTCCATATTGGTAAATCAATAAAGCGATTATTTTTACACATCATATTTCGTTCATCTTAAATTTCTAGTGGGTAATATAACCAAGATTGACATCATCCACGAACATTTTGATCAACCCTCAAATTTATAATCAATGGATATGGTTTCTTTCAGATCTGAATGTTGCTCAGGGTATATGTATGATGTGAACTCTAGCAGTTGCGTTGGTAATAACATGTTCTTCTTTAACTCTTTATTCTTCTTCATTCTTCATATTCATTGAATAACTTTACTTTTTTTAGGAAAATGATGAATAATGAATTTTATTACATTTTTACCAGTGAAATACTGTAATTTATTCATTGAATAAAAGTGATATCCTGTCACAGTGTGAAAGGATATCAAAATGATATCCTGTCACAGTGTGAAGAATATCAGAAGTGCGGGAAAACTCTCGATTTTCCTTCCAATAGCAAAGAATGTTGTAAAAAAAATACCCCTAGGTCCATTAGAAAATAAATTTACCATTTTGACATAGAATAAAACTGCGAAAGATCCCAAAATATATTGTTAAAATCCTTGTATACGACGTTTTCAATCTCACAACACTTAGCTATGACGTCTTAACCGCTCAACTATGACGTCATATAGCCTATGAATGAATGAGAAAAAGACAGAGGAAAAGGGAAAATCAAAGAAAAATGTAATAAATAGAAAATTCAATGTTTTGTAGTTGAATATTATGCAATTTATTTTACTCGTGAGACAGGATTTTTTGATATTTTCACTCGTGCTTCGCACTCGTGAAATTATCAAAAAATCCTGTCCCACGAGTGAAATAAATTCCATATTCAACTACAAAACATTGAATATCCTCTATATATTTTTAGCATGTTGAAGTGGCTTTATTGGGAAATCTTGTGAAATACCTTGTCTATATCCTTCGTTTGGAGATTTATGTCAACAAAGATTTAGCTGTGCGAGAAAGATTTGCAACATTTCAATTGGATGTGTAGATTTACAAAATGTAGAAAGTATGTTTCCCTTTTTCATAAAGTACACATGTAAACACAAATATTTGATCGAGGGAAGAACTTTTAAGACAAGTATTTAAACATTGAAGATAAGTGATATTTTTCTCAATAATGTAAAAATAATTTTTTTTTACTTGTTATATCTTATGATGGTCTTATAATCATTTCAATATCAAATGCATTTGTAGAATAAGAAAACTATAAATTAATATTATTTACCTTATTATGAAATATGGTATCATTAAAGGTTTATTTAGCTACATTTTTTTTCATTTATTCTTCTTAAATCATAAAATACGTGCATTAAACAATTGACCTAAGATGTGGAAATATAATAACATAGACTAACGTTTTTTTCTGTCTGCAGAATAAATTCTGATTTTATGCACTTTTTCAATTTCAACATTGTCAGACAAGGAACATATTCTAAACAAAGGCTAGAATTATGCATGTCAAACGTTGAAATATTCGATATTTTCCACTTGTATACTATAATTTTTCATTTGTATTGTACATTTTTATTTGTACTATTTTATTTTCCATTTCCTCGGTTAATTCTTTTTATTTCTTTATTTGTATATTGTATTGTAGCTCTTAATTTATACAATTTTGAAAAAATTATAAAATTCATATGAAATATTATACAATACAAATAGAAAATTAGAATGACACATTTTACTACGCAAATGAAAAATTATAGAATACAAATAGAAAAATCGAATATTGCAACGTTTGACTCGTCATATAAATGTGCTTTATAACTGTCATTATTTAATTGTGCCGTTTTATTTATTTTCCTACAGGAAAGGATTTTAACACGGAAGCATTTTTGATATCCACACAACCCAATTATTCCCTATTACGCACAGAGAGAATTAATGAAGGCGTCTCACTGACTGATTTTACAGCACAAGTTCGAGCACGTTTCAAAGCGCAAGAAGATATATCTTCAATTCAATCTCCAAATGTTATTCAATACACCGAATAAGCATCAGATTCAGGAATCCGAAATAAAGAGGTAAACGAGGCAAATTGCCAGAATCCCCTCCTTATCGGTATTTTCAGCTTTAATGCAATGTTCGTAATAGTAGTGATTGTCGTTGTGTTTTACTGTGGCTGTCAACGAAACAGAAAGAAAATTAAACGAAAGAAAGACAACTCTGCCACTGCTGTCCACTATCACGAAATTGATGAAAATGCTATTGATACGAGTAGGGATTAATACCCTTTGTATTGTATACACGTGTCTGCAGATCTTAACATGCCAGAGACTATTGAAATAGACAATATCCTTGTTGAGTATGCAAACGAAACTCTTAACAGAGAAGAGAATAGTTCTGCAATTTCAGATTCACGATACAGATCGTTACAAACATCACCAAAACATTTCTTACATGATGAAGCTTTTTCTAGCCATATTTCTCCAGCTATGAACGATGTAATTGTAGATGTTAATTAAATATCAATGAGCGAATAATATTTAAATCTGTGTGTGACTTTTTAAAAACTGCCATTTAAACTGTTACTGTTTTCCTTTTTCTTATGGTTTTATGTAAATTGTTTTAATTGAATAAAGTATACGTGCGATATGCTTATTCCAAACATACAAGGAAATACAGGTACATGTACGGGGTGTGTCAGTTCCCATTACAAATTGGTACAGTTCAATTTGTTTATTATAGTAGACACTTTTCTTAAATGGACTACAACAACTTCCTTAATGGCATTGTTTGTTTGACAGACAAAATGGAAGGTCAGTAAATGGCAATAATAAATCAAATAACACAAATAAATCATGGTACTAATTTATTCCATTCAGCAAAACATACACATGTGCACGGAGAATAACAATTAGTACAGGAAGAAAAAAATTAAATTTAACGTTATGTAAATCTAAGCAGAAGATATTACAATATACTTTTTCCGTATTTGCATATTTTTTTTTTTTACATTATTATGCTTTTGTACAGTGACCCACATATTTTTTTTAAAGGTAAGCAGTACTGCTTTAATATAGTACGCATCAGAACAATCTATCCACAGCCTTCCGTTGTGCATCCACAAGATGAAATTACACCATTCAGTCGACGGAATGGTAACTGAATGCCCACTGAATGGTCACTGAAAGGTCACTGAAAAGATTCTTTCCCGTGACTTTTCCGTGATCATCCCGTCAACATTCAGTTGACTGAATGGCAGGCACATTTCAGTGACCTTTAAGTTATCATTCAGTTGCATGTTTTTCTTAAATAATCGACTTACTCTTTAACTTAAAATTTTTTTTTCACTTTTTCTTGATTTAAAAGCATTTAGTCTACATATTTTCGAATAAAAAATAAAAAAAAAATTAATGAAAGAAAAAAGCATCTTGCCCAAAGCAGGAATCGAACATTGGTCGCCAGCGTGAATGTTCGTGACCTTATCCATTACGCTACGACTTCTTGTTGAAAAATAATGAAATAAAATCAATCAATCGTAGAAATCGAAATGGAACACGGTTCACCTGTTGTATCGAGGAGTTGCGATGTGTATATATCTTGTATATATTTTGTATATTCTATGTTAATTGTGCGGATTTTGGGGACAGACTACTTATTACACATCTCTTAGCGGGATGATGACAATTATCGGCGACGGGCACTTGTTCTTGTCAAAGAAATCTTCTCCTCGGAGATCGTTTTAAATTCTCTATCTAGAAAATTAGCCAATTATCTTAAACTGTATCTTTTTAAAAGCTTTAATCTACAATATTAAGTTTCTTCCACAAGAAGCATAAATAAATGATTTATTCTATTCCTGTAAAATGATTTTATAATGAAGTCTTTCAAAAGCTGAAATATCCTGCGGGTTTGACAATTAAGAAACGGAATTTATAATATCAAGGTTCTTCCAGAAAAAGGTATAAATAATATTAAATCTGTCTCATCGTTCAATATTAAATATTTCAAAGAAAAATATAAATCCCACTGTAGAATGTATTAGAGTGACATAGGAATAATGAAATCTACGTATATTAGAGCTGTAAAAAATAAGATAACATTTTCTTTGTTAATATTAAGATCGTATAATGATCGATAGCCTCCAATTTTTTTTCAGATTGATTTCTATTTAATTTAATAGCTTATTAAATTAATATTTATTACCGAATTAGAGATTTACAGAAAGGAAAAAAGAAAACAAACTTGTACGACATTTAATTGAATTTTGATACGAGAATCGGGTCAATATTTTTTATCATTTGAAGATTTTTTTTTTTTTTTTTAAATCTACTAGAAAATTAAATGACTCCACACCTCTTGAATTTTACGAGTTCAGTTGAACTGTTATAATTTATTTTGTAGCATTTAAATAAACATTTGTTAAGACATATTTTTAAAGTCTATAATCGCAATTCAAAGTTATACCAGGGAGTATATGACATATCTGACCTGAAAAAAAAATACAAGATCAAGTGTAGATTTACATGATATTTGCTATATTTATACGTTCAAATTAAATTTTTTGCCGTATTTGACCTTTAATATCCCCTCGTTTCTATGGTTAAATTGACTTTAAACTGTGTGTGATATTTAATTCCGAGTCAAAAATAAATCGGTTATTATTTTAAATCTTGGATATCTATGAAACGCGATTGATTTTAATTGTATAATATACAGGAAAGTCTTTTCGTTATTTAAAAAGTATCAAAAGAAATAGAAAGATCCTTTTTATTTTAGTTAGACCGAACGTAAAAATATGCCATATACATGTATGTCTTTTAACATTTGGTAAACACTTATTGAAATACAATTGAACATCTAACTATGATTACCAGTTTTAGGTACCTTTATTACGATAAGAAACCAAAAAAAAAAAAACAGTTAAGATTGGATGATAAATTCAGTGATTGGGAAGGGCTTGCGCCACGCGCCATAGTCGCATTGAAGTGAAAAATGGCACATGAAATCAATCAATCATGGCGCCAAGGTGCGCATTCAATTTTTAGCGATGTTATTTGAAAGTATTATGCATACGACTTTCTTTCTTGTTGTCTGACGTCACATTTACTTTCATTTTAAATGCAGTCAATTTAAAACAACAAATCTCATTAGTTGAACCCTGTCAAAAAGTACTTCCGGTTAAACGAAGCACTTACATGAGGTACAATACTTCATTCATTTGTATGGTAGGGCTGTTCCCTTTCCAAAACTGTTGTAATTTAAACACAAAATACGGGTCAGTTATATTCAAAGCAAGTGCCCTTAGATATGCTGCATTTTGTGCGTTACAAGTCGGTTAATAATTTTTATTCAGTTAATAAAAAAACGTGTTTTCTCTTCTATTTCATATTTGTTTGTCACTTTGTTATTTCTTAAAATGGCCCTTCAGATTGTATTGAAGGCCCATTCATTTTCGAAATGGCCCATAAAAAAATGGTGATAGTTGCGCCATAGTCCTATTGGCCATTTTGGCCTTCCCAATCAATGTAAATTTATGCAAAATATTTTTAAGGAAAAACTAGTGATTATAAATTAATAAGCCGGTGAACAAAATCGCTGAATTGATACTAAAATGTGTGCTAAAAGATAACGGAAAGGTTACTGAAAAACGAAGGAAATGTCACTGAAAGACGACGGAAAGGTCACTGAAAGTCGACTGAAAGGTCACTGAAAGTTGACGGAAAGGTCACTGAAAGATAACTGAAATGTGTCCACTGAATGGTGACTGAAAGGTACCTGAAATATGACTGAAAGGCAACTGAAAGGTCACTGAAATGTACCTGCCATTCAGTGTTTGAATGGCAACTGAAAAGTCACTGAAAGCCGCCTTTCAGTTTTAACTGAAAGGTCTCGTTTCTTCCTGTGATCGTACATGTAACTCTCTAGTGGATAAATATAATATTCAACTGTTATCAGCAACTTTTTTTTCGATTCAACATCGCTTATGGATAATTATTAAGTACATTGATGTATAACATCTAATTTTTGACATTAATTTAGATGATGACTCTGATATTTTACTTGAAGAAGACGTTCGTGGTAATCATACAACCAAGCTCTATGACAAACTTGATGACTTTAACTTTTCTATTGTCAACTCCCCTTACTTATGCAGCAGTATGCCTTTATCACCTGCATACGGAGTTTATATATCTCAGTTGATTCAATACGCAAGAGTATGCTCTACGTTTGAACAATTTCTTACGGACAGATGATACAAATAAACTTTTGTAAAAAAAAAAATTGAAAGTAACAACTAGGGCCATGTTTAAATGAGTAAAATTAATGTTTCACCACGTACATTTTTTTTTTATTCCAAATTTCACAAAAATGAATTTAAAGTAAAAAAATTGTATATTTTACTAGTTATAAGGATGGTTTTAAAAGGGCATACTGTCTTACAGGAGGTTTTAAATTTCTTTATATTCTAGAAATTTATTATTTGTATCATTTGCAATAAAATTAAGCCAAAATTATATACCAATCCAGGTATAATATATCCAAAAAATTGAAGTGGACGACGGGTGGCAGACAGTATTTTCTAAAGGAAAATAAGGACAGAAACGAGTCGTTTTGAGGCTCTCTTACATTTAATTTAGAAATGTACCAAATTAATGACGTCATATTTCCAGATAGGTCCTCCTTTAAGTCACTTTTATTGATTTTTCATTTGTATCTACTCAACTCTTGTTAAGGCTAATTTCATAACATTTTAATAAGCATTCAATTTTTAGGGCACAATAAAGCCCAAACCGTACCTTCTTCTTATTGACAAATAAGTTAATGAAACAAGAATACCAGCAGTCTCTTTTAAAGTTATCATTTCGTAAGTTCTATGGTTGATACAATGGCTTTGTCAACAAATCGATTTAACATTGATTTATTTGCTGAGTGCTGACTGACGTTTTTCATACTAATTGTTAGTATATTATTTATACACTAAATTCACGATGGATTTTTTCCGTTATTTTCCGATCATGACAAGGAGCACGCGGCAGGTTTGACCGGTCAACAGAGGATGCTCATTCCCCCATGGCACCTGATCCCATCACTGATGTTTTGAAGGTCTTTATTCGCTCTGCTCCTATTTTGTTTCATGGACTTTGATATTGAATACTGTTCGTTATCTCAATATCTTTCATTTCATAATTCAGCGTACAAGTTAATGACGTTTGTAAACAAGTAAGATCTTCTGTCTTTTTTAAGTTAATAATAACTTAAGTTATACTAGAATAAAAAGTGTTTATTTTCATTTTTCTGTTATTTCTCGATCATGACAAGGAGCACAAGGAGAATTTTATCACCAATTTTAGTACATGGTATTTCTGAATAAAATTAAAGTCAGTGTACAATTTGCTGGTGAGGGATTCTTCAAGATCATTAATGTACATAGAAAACAAGAGAGGCGATGATAATTTTTCTTTTCCACCTAGAGCAATATTACAATGGAAAAAGTTGTTTAATAATTACTAGGTACCTAATACCATCATACATTGAAAAAAAGGGGAAAAAAATATTTGCCATTGATGCTTTCTTCAATCATTTTTACCAAAGCTCATTTCTCCATACTGTTTAAATTCCTGTTTAAATCAAGAAAACCACAAAATATTTCTCTTTGGAAACATTCCTCAGTAAATTTT